CCCTCCTCAAGGTTCCGAGAAGCTACTTACCGTAGTCGGCTGGGTTGTGATACGGAGGGCAATGAAGGCCGAACTGGCGGAGGTAGGGCACCAGCGAGGAGATGGTGCCGTGGTAAAGACTGCGACCCTCGGCGAGGAGAATCAGATGATCGAACATCTCCAGGATCTTCGCGCTGGGGTGGTGGATTGTGCAGATCACGGTTCGGCCCTCGCGTGCCAACATTCTCAGCAAGCTCACGCATTGTAGGCAAGTGGAGCTGTCCAGTCCACTGCATCACCATTCACAAACCATTGCGAATGCCATGCAAATGAAGGGGTCATTAAGGATTCTGAATTCCAGGAATTTCAGGTTGTCTTTCAAGCATGCGAAAAGTAAATTTAGGTTATTCTTTTTTTAAGTAACGATGATACTAGCCCTTTACATGGCTGAGTAATCCGTATTAATCGGTTCAAGAGTATAATGATAAGTAAACTCTAAACTGCAAGAGTGGGTGATGATAACAGTAAAGGTAATGGATTGTCCTCATTTCGACATGAAACTATTCGTTCAGGCCTGGGTGCAATCAAAAGAGAGGTCGGAGAATAAAATAAATATTAATACATCATAGTGAATGAAAAACACAAAATCATCTGGTTACTACTTATTTCATTTATTATTTAGCTTACGCTAATCATTTCCCTCAATGTGAACATTGCAGATCTCCTCTTCTGCATCCACAAAAAAGTATCATCTTGGGCTCCTCTTTTATTATTTTTAGTGACTCCACTCATGATGATATTGGTATTCAAATGGGGCCTTTTAGTATTTCCTACTGTATCCGGAAATATGAGTTAATCTTTTTAGGTTGAAATAGGAATTGCCTCTGAAGCAAAAAAAAAACAAGGGAAGTGACCTTTCAGGTCTCATCATGAAATGTTCGGGAGAATGTGTTACACGATTCTTCTCATCCAATTTTATTACCTAATTGCTGAAAATTGTCTTTTTTCTTTATATTTTAAAGGGCAGCACAACACCATGATTTTTTATCAATAACAAATTCATATTTATTCTTTCTTTCAACTATTAATGGGCAATTCTTTAAACATATATTTTTCTTTTAAAGTGACATAATATCATCATGAAACTCATTCAACTATACTTAGATTAGGGTCCTCTGATGTCAAACAGTTCCATTGATAAAAACGCAGGTTAACCTCAACCTACCTGGTGGGTTCGTCAAGGAAGAGGAAAGAAGGGTCGGCGAGGAGCTCAAGGGCGATGCAAAGTCGCTTCCTCTCTCCAACTGACAGAAATGATGCCTTTGTCTCCGCACAATCCAGGATAGCCAAGTGTTGTAGGATCTCCACGACCTGCAGTCGACATTTTTTATTTCCATAATCTTGGAATACATATAATCGCAAGGATAGATATTAATAAAAAGTATTATCTCGCCTGTATTTCCTCATAGTAAAAGTTAAAAATATATACATATATATCTAAATATGATGAAACTCCTGTATCCGCTTCAAAACCTTCATGATCATGAACTTAACTAATTTATTTACTAAATTTGGATTGGTTAACTTACAAATTAGGTAAAGGGCATGAAATGAGTGTTAACAAGACCAAAAAATACTGAGCTACAGCCACTGAATATAGCTTTTCAGACAGAATGCTCGTCTTTTCAACTTTTCGGGGTTATGGGAGGTCATAATTTTCTGTTACTCTCCGAAAAATAAACTAGGAAATAATTTTTGTGCTTTTCTCTTACATGACTGTATTATAGATTAGATTATTTTGCCTATGTTATATGAGGTCTCGAGACTAGCAAATCCATAAAGTAATCCAGAGGCAAACTAAAAAGAGACTAAGAGTGGAACTGACGGCATTGTGCTTCTCTTTGAAAGACTTTGAGTTCGGAAGTTTGAGGTTGGCGGCGACAAGCATGGACTCCATGACTGTGAGGCAGGGGATCACGTGGTCCTGCTGAGGGATGTAGCTGCTTTGGTGGCGGAACACGCGCAGGTTCCTTTCTCTCCCATTCACTTCCACTTTTCCCGTCACGCCCTTCTGCCTATAAATGTCAATGATTGTGGACATCCATGCATGGTCAGAATTTCTGGGTGTCAATGGGTCTCACCAAAAAAGATTTTGGTGGGAGGGGGTTGTGGCTTTAGTGGGAAGGCTTCGAATGATTTAGGGGTGTTAGTTTACCCTAGCTTTGATGCGAGAATGGGAAAGAAGATCCCTCTAAAGATTCCCGGTGTTACCTTTGGGCCAATAATTGGCGTAAGGGCCAATCAAAGGCACTGCAGGACGATTGAGCGGATATTTTATATTTTCTTGCTTAAAAGTAACTTGCATGCATTTTGTTGCTTTGAAAATATTTGCAGGTAACGCAACTTATTATTTACAATTCAATGGAATCGTAAATTAAGGGGAAATTTATTTTAAGTACGAAAAATCCACTTCAAATATACGCCATATGTAAAAAGTAATGCAAATTGGCTAGTGAAGTGGTATAAT